CTGGCCCTGGGGAGTGAGGGTCTGTCTGGAATGGCAGCAGCATGGGTGCAGGGCACAGATATGGAAAACTTTCTTGCCTAAATGGCGCGTGACATAACGTGGCAGGACGTCTAACATCTTGGAAGACAGAAACAGAATTCAGAATGATCTAGAAATAGTGGAAGACGACGATTCTTACTTGGGTGGAACAGGGAACACAAGAACTCTGGGGTGGGGGGGGGCCCGGGCCACGCTTTCCAGAAGCAAATGTGGTATCACAGTGATGCCCTACGTGGTGCTCACTTTGAGAAGCCTCCTGTGTTGTCTAGGGGTGGGACAGGTGTCAGGGACATCTAGGGAAGCTGGCTGGTGACGAGCACAGGTGCACGGGCCCTCTTTGTTCTGAGATGCCCCGGTGTGATGAACCATCAGGACAATGGCACGTCGGCCGCTGAAAACCCACAGGCCTGACCCCCTTCCCAGGTCCTCACTCTGGCCAGCAACGAGCGAATCCCCCTGAACCGCACCATGAGGCTGGTGTTTGAGATCAGCCACCTGAGGACGGCCACCCCGGCCACCGTCTCCAGAGCCGGGATCCTGTACATCAACCCCGCAGACCTGGGGTGGAACCCGTGAGTTGGGTTTTCGCTTTTCCGTTCCAAACTGGCAGAGAAAGGCGAGGCTGGTGGCGTTTCCGAGTCGCCTGTGCGGGCGTGCGGGCATTCGCTCAACAAATTCCGCACGCAGGGCCTCCCCCGGGCCCCGGGTCACGGCAGCGGAAGGACCGGCGACAGCCGTGTAAACACGAGGTGACTAGCACACGGCCCCGTGCGCCGGGAACCCTGCAGGGAAGTGTTCCCGAGAGGAAGGCGCAGTTTGGGCTGACACCTGGCGGGAGAGGAAGTTTTCCAGGCGGACAGAAAGTGCAGGGAGCTCGCCGGGCGAGAACCAGCCTTGACGGGAACGTGGCGGGGCGGGGCGGGGTGGCTAGAGGGGGAGGTCCCGGGGTCCCGGTGGCGGTCGGGTGTCCGTGGACGGAGCATCAAGCCTGAAGATGCTCTTGGCAGGAAGGAGCTGATACTGGACCGGCCTGCGGGGCCCACACGGGGGCCCTTTCTGGGGTACAGAGGGCCGGCCACGCCAGGGGACGATGGGTGACCACTGGGGGCGGGGAGGAAGGGACAATGTGAGAAATGCTCAAAATCTTAAGAAATGGAAGATCTGGCATTGATTCGGGGGCCCGAACCCAAAATCAGAGTGTTGGAGGGTCTGGTTCCACCCAGAGGCCCCCAGGGAGCCAGCGCCCCAGGCCTTTCTCTGGGCCGCCCGTGGCCACGGCCGAGGCTCGTGGATGCCTCACCCGATCTCTGCGTCCACATCCACATGGCCACCTTTCTGTGTCTCTCGTGGTCTCCCCTCAGTCCCCTTTTCTTGTAGGGACAGTCATGGGATTGGGGCCCGCCCTCATTTCGGGATCCTAACCTTGACTACATCTGCAAAGACCCTTTTCCAAAGAAGGTCACATTTATGGGTCCTGGTGGACGTGTGTTTTGGGAGCCGCTACACCACACGTGAGAGTTTCCAGGGTGGGAAGGCGAGGCAACAGGAGGGAGGCGGAGGGTTCAGGGGCACCCCGGGGGTGGGGGTGGGTAGGAAGGAGAGAGCCGAAAGGAAGCCTTGTGCCAGGAGTGGTTCTCGAGGCCCCCGGAGGAAGGACCAAGCCGGTGAGCGGCTGTTTGGGGACGAGGTGGGGGGGGAGTGAAGAGGGCAGGGGGCCAACACGCGCCCCCCCGACCCCCGGGAGGAAGACATCCCTCCCATGGGGGACAGCAGTGACTTGAGGCCGGGAGACCGCAGGGCACATCCCAGAGCAGGAAGGGGAGCAAGGTTTCCCCCTGGGAGCCGGGCGGGGGCTTACCACGCTTTGCCCACGGACACAGATCGTGGAAAGGATCGCTCTGTCATTCTGGACAATCCAGGGTGCAGCGGGGCAGACGTTTTAGCTGCCGGTCCTCCGTCCTGATGGAGGCACGGTAGGAATCAGAGCCTGTCCTCGGGGTTGCGGATGCCAGGCTAGCCGTATCTGGTGACGTGAGCCCCCCGCTTCTGCCCCATCCTGGAAATGATGCGCTCGCTGACCCACGAGGGGGCCGGACGCTGTTTATGCTTTAGGCAGGCCACTTAGCGCTCACGGCAGGCCAGGCTCCCTTCTGCAGGCTCTAAAAATATCAGCCCAGGCAGTCCTCACTCCCACTCAGAAGTGAAAAACCTGGGAGCCAGACACGTTGAGTAACTCGCCCAAGCTGCTGCTGGCCGAAGGGGATTCAAGCCCAGGCAGCAGGCTCCAGAGTCTGTACCCTCGCCCTTGGGGTGGCCCGCTTCTCAACAACCCACGCCAGCAGCGGGTGGACACCAGACAGGCCAACACGGGTCCTCAATGGTTCCCTATTGCATTAGTTTGGACGCCTCCGTAGAACGTGACAAATTCATCTCAAACTAGCTGAAGCAAAAAAAAAAAAAAAAAAAAAAAAGGTTGGCTCAATTCACCAAGCGGTGCTTCAGGCACGGCTGGATCCAGGAACTCAGATGATCTAATGAGAGGCACCTGTTCCTCTGTCTTCCCTTCCCTTCCTATCCCCCTCCCCCTTTCCACACAGACGATGTGAAATCTTTCTCCTCCCCTATGTCCAGCTCTGCCCCCATCAGTAGTGGCTTCATCTGGGGTAGCGAAGATGTCTCCCAGTCGTTCTAGGCTACAGGACCCCCTATGGCTAGAATGCCAGAGGCAGAGCACACCCCCACAGCCCCGCCACCCCCGTCAGACCCTCTCAAGGTCTGCGTCTGGCCGCATCACCAGGCAGGAGCGCCAGAGTCACTCAGAGGCGCCAGGGATGTTCACCAAGGGGAGGGAGGCCACGCGGGCCCGCCACGGTGGCCCCACCACCCAGTGCCCCCCGTCTCCCCCAGGGTAGTGAGCAGCTGGATTGAGAGGCGCAAGGTGCAGTCGGAAAAGGCCAACCTCATGATCCTCTTTGACAAGTACCTGCCCACGTGCTTGGACAAGTTGCGTTTTGGGTTTAAGAAGATCACGCCCATACCGGAGGTCACGGTCATCCAGACCATCCTGTACCTGCTGGAGTGCCTCCTCACAGAGAAGAGCGTGCCGCCCGACTCCCCCAAGGAGCTGTACGAGCTCTACTTTGTGTTTGCCTGTTTCTGGGCCTTCGGGGGGGCCATGTTCCAGGACCAGGTGAGCGGCTGCCCCCCCCCCCCCCCGCCGGGGAGCCAGCCGTCCAGGCGGGGCCTCTGGGCGTCCCTAGCCGGGCTCCGGTTTGCTTTTCAACAGCTTGTGGACTACCGAGTCGAGTTCAGCAAATGGTGGGTCAACGAGTTCAAGACGATCAAGTTCCCCTCGCAGGGAACCATCTTTGACTACTACATAGATCCCGACACGAAAAAGTTCCTGCCGTGGACAGAGAAAGTGCCCTCCTTCGAGCTGGACCCCGACATCCCGCTGCAGGTGCCCGCCCCGGGGTGGTGACAGTTGGGGAGCGGGACTCAGCGCCCTGTCTCACACTTCTTGACGGGTCACCGAACACACACGATTTTCAACAGTAAACCCGGGGACTTGGCAAACCGTTGGGTCTGCAGGTTAGCCGGGAGGTGGAAATCAGAGGTGCAGGACGTCTGAGGGTCACGACTCCTCCCCCCCCCACCCCCCCACCCCCGGCCCAGGCCTCTCTGGTGCACACCACAGAAACCACGCGTAT